CGCTCCCCTTGGCTTCGGAGGCAGCAAGCCTGGGGCAGCACCTGCTCCCGCTGGCGTGCTGGTGCGGGGGGGGCTTCCCGGTGTCTTCAGAAACATGAAAAATGCAGCACTGAAAACCAGTTTGATGCTAGTGAAGGAATTGGTCGAAGATTTATGAAAATTGTGTTTTAATAAATAAATGGAAGTATGAAAACGGTAAAATTTTACATCTGGAAGGTAACAATGAGGAAACATTTCCTAACTTTTCCTGACCTCAGAATTAGTGAAAGTTAGATGTAAATGCAAGGTGTTATGTTTAATTTCTGCAGTAAAGAGAGTGTAATTAATGAAAAAAAACCCCACCGAACCAAAAAACCTTCTAGCCAGTTGTTATTTATATATTGATTTGTATGCGCTCAAAAATGAGATGGGAGTCCAAATGCGTGGCAGGTAGCAGACTGCCTTCTGTTTTAGTCTGCCTTGGAGGTGTATTAACTCTAAAGCTCTCTCTAAAGCTTCTCTGTTTTGAGTAGTCCGTTGCTAATTGACAGACCACGGGGAATGTATCTGCAGATTGGAAAATGAACGGTATTTTCACTGGCATATCTGTGAGTAAATGGCTCATTAAGTACAGCTGATTACTAGTAGCTCTGTGTAGATGATGAGCTGTGCCTGTTTGTGACATTAGCAATAAAGAAAAACACATAAGGTACTCCAGCCAAATCCAGCCTGCTCTTTGTAATAACAGTCTTCTCAATTAGTTCTCTGTTTGCTAAAAATTGGTGCGAGACGTTCAGATATCAAAGCTGATTGTGAGAAAACCCAGCAACATATATGTTAAAGGTAAAACAAGTATTGCAAAGTGCTTTTTTTTGCCCCACCACAGTTAAAAGCGAAACCAAATCTGGTTACCTTTCTAAAAGATAAGTTTGCTTAAATACTGTTCCTCTGGGACAAAAACACACTTCAGAGAGCGTCACTTTTTGCAACCCCCTTTTCCTGTCACTAACTTTTCCTGTCTCCTAGCTTAGTTATCCTTTTGTAAGCAGTGAAATTGCACCAATCTGATAGGACATAATAGAATTCAGCTCTGTGGCAGACTGTGATAGTATTATGAAATATTGCCATCATTATGAAGAACATTGCACTCACTTATTCAGTTCTGAAAGAGTAACTTTTTTAAAAAATATGGTTACTTTTGCCTTTCTTTGGTTTTGAAAGTAAATTATTCAATAGCTAGTCCTGTAAAGCTAGTTTCTGATCCATTTGTACTTTAAACAAGAACATATCTGGAAAATACTTCTATGCGAGCATGAAAGTTGAGTGTCTGTTTGCTTGTCTGAGGTTAGCAAATACAAAATAATGCATTGCTCTTTTTTTTTCAGCAAACCAAGGTCAACATGGTATGTTTTCAAATAACGCAGTAATTGCAAGTAAGGTTAAAGCAAGCTATTTGTAGAATATGATTCAAAGAACTGACAGAGAAGGTTACTAAAAATAACCTGATCGTATCTGCGAGCTGTGGGGCACATACTATTTGTTTTGAGCAGTGTTCCAGCACTGAAGAGCAGGTTCTGACCTTTACCTAGAAACTATTCTAACCTATTTCAGCTGTACAAGCACGTAACACACAAGCGACAGTAACACTGGATTATGGTAGGGAATGTTTTCCATTTGCCATGTTTTCTTTTCCACCTATAAACAATAATTAAAATGTTTGTGAAAAATGAAAAAAAATATGTGATTTCTTTCTCAAATGAATTTTGAGTAATCAAAACATTGGTACTCTCGTAAAATTTTAAATTGTCACTAGGAAATGTTACTTAAATGTCACTGTGAAGGCAATATATTAAATTAAACATAAGAAGCTTCCCACATTGGCTTAGAAATAATGTATTGATGTGCTGTTCATAGCTCAGTCGCTAATCATAAAACCTTCAGGGTGGAAATTTCAGAAGTTGGCGTTATTCATACAGCTCTAAGCATCTATAGTGCAGGACATTGGATCACCATGCAGCAGCCAGCTGAGGTTAGAAACCAGTAATATTATCTGGAAATTCTCTTTGTGCCCACTGTTATCCGAGACGAGAGAATTGTATTGGTATTTTCAGTATTATGCATTTATGCTTATGGAAATGTAACAGAAAAATTATGTAAAATGCTTTATGTTCACTCTTAGGATGCTTTTTACATACTGGCAGCAGGAGAACAGGTAAAACGATTTGGCCTTTAGGTAAAAGCAGAATTAAGCCAGCACTGGCCACTACCAAAAAACCTATTCATTTATTCTGTTTAGTAAAGAGCTGAAATTTGTGACCGTTTCAGTTAATTAATAGAAATATCTGTAAATGTTGTAACTGTATGAAAAATGTAATCAGCATCTTTTGTCACAAGGTTGGTTCTAAAGCTGGACATTTCCTTCCAAGCTGAACACGTTTTCTGTGTTTAACTCACTTGTTCAGAATCATTTAAGGTTAAAACAAATAAGTGAACTTTAGCAAGATGTGATTTTTAAAATCATAGCCATCATCTAATATAGCTGCATTGGCCTTACTATTTATAATTATCTGCAGTCTTACTTCTTTGTCAGTGTTTGGAGACTCAGAAAATAATTATGTAATAAAATAAATAAGCACTTTTTTACTTGCATTTAAGTATATGCAGAATTTCCCATGTGAATACTTGATATTTTACAGACAAAGAACTTGCTTAACGTTATATATTTTTTATACAAGCCTTTAAGTCTTCTGGGAAGTATGTAAGGATGAGGACAAAATTCAAAATTAGTTTAAACTGACAGAAAAAATCACATTGACTTAAACACATCTTGTATTAGACTACAGTGGTCTATATACACTGCTGAGTTCCTGTTGACTTCGCTTGGTCATTCTGCCTAAATAAAGATTGGAATATATCCTAGATTAGCAGTGGTTAAAGCAAAACAAAAAACCCTCCCACTGCCAGCAGACACCAACTGGTTTATTGATTTTGTCTCTTTGTAAATATTGGCAGCACCCAATCTTCAGATCAGTGTTCAACTGTCTGTCTCTGACAGCTCTAAGGATATTTAAAGCAAAATAATCAGTAGTTTGGCTTCTGAAAATAGCAATGACATCAATTGAATTACAAACCCTGTTTAATCTTACAGGAACATTTAAAAAATAGTGGTGGTGTTTCTCTGATGGGCTAAGGACACATCAGGATTGTAGAAAAAAATAGTATTTTAACTAACCTGTGTAGCTGTAAATAAAAGACAAGATTTTCAGACACACGTTCCCTTTTTCATACCGCATGTCTCTTTAAAGTTTGCCATACCTGTTCTCAAAATGTCATTTTAGTGTTTCAGAGACACCACCTACATTATGGCGAAATTATTCACGTGGAAGACATCAGTGAGATCCAAGGTGTCAGGCTGTCATATTCTTATAGATTCCTTTGGAATTCACGGGTTGATTGTTTAGTTTCTTTCTGCTTCCTTTTTTCCCCTCCTCTTTTTTTTGTTGTTGTTTGTTTTTGTTTTGGCATACACAGCAAGCAGAGTTTGTTTACAGCAGTAGCAATTTATCCATGTACCTTGATCACCAAAAATGGTTGTATGGCTGTCACTTTCCATCCACACATCTGTCTGTGACATCAGGGCACACCGGACTATGAAATGTTTTTTGCCCCCATTAGGCGGATACGATAGTTTACTGCTTACTTGTTTTTTGTAATTGGTAATTAGAAAATCATCATTTATAATTACTCTTGACAGTTATTGATTGCATGGTATTGTAGAAATAAGTTGTCCTTGGAGATCATCAACAGAATAAATCCACATAATTAATTGTATTTAGACTTTGAAGCCCTGGCTCAACACTTCGAATTATGATTGTGTTTAGCTCAGTGAAGTTCCCTGTTTTCATAAGGATTTGGCAATATGTTATTCCACAAGTGCGAAATTGGCACAATGTACTACAAACGTTTTGTAGTACAATCTTGTACAGCAGTCAGCAGCACTAGGATGATGAGCATTAGGTCTTATGTTGGTTCTACAGAAAGTTGCAAAAGAGCTAATACCGCAGTTTTCCAGTATTATCTTGTTGACGATTTTTGTTTAGGTAAAGGTTGCAATGTCAGAACCTTAATTTGTAAGAAAACTTTTAGGAATCTTATGCATTTTCACAAAGAATCTAATTTGTAATTTGTGTAATAATGGGAATTTATTGTGTGTTTTTAGAATCTGTATTTAATCTTTTTTATTTGGTTTTGTTTGCTTTATCCATGCAGGTTTACCTATGAAATTGCCCCTGTTTTTGTCCTCATGGAGCAAATAACACTGCGAAAGATGAGGGAGATTATTGGATGGTCAAATAAAGATGGTGATGGAATATTCTCACCCGGTGAGTTTTTCCTCTTTGTGTTGGTGGTTTGGCTACAACTTAAAAGTTAAAATAAACATAAGCTATATCTGAATGCCTGTAATATGTGCAACACAAAACAATGCCCATTTACTTAGAAGTAGGAATTTCCCATCTGAAGTACAAGCTTTGTTTAAGCATCCCACAAAAGTTGGGGGGGGAAGTGAAGTCTTTGAGTATGGCTATGTACCGTGGCTGGCAAGGATTTTAAAACTTGACTATGAGTTCTGGTACGTGGTTAGGCACACTTTTCTTGCGTTTCATTTCTGGACGTCCTGAGCAATTACAGCTCCTGCTGACCAGAAGATCATGTACTGACCTATTTCACGTTCAGTGCGGATCTGGGCTCACAGTCAGCAAAAGACTGTGACTGCCTGTCACTTTCTGGGACATATTATCTGGGACGTAGCCTGGCTGAATTCGCAAGTGTGACTCTGAAGACCAAGACAAAATGTCCTCCCACGAAGGTGATATAAAGACAGTCGGCGGTGGCAGACAAGACTGGAAAACAGTGTGGAGGCCATGGGCTCACACACGGACAATGTGGGTGCCCAGCAGAACTCCACATTTCTGGGTTTGGGGTGTGGGGGGAACACCATCCTGTTTCAGAGGATGAAGGGCAATTCCACCTCCTTTTGGAACAGCCCACATAAAATCCAGGAATGCACACTTGCTTCGTCTCCAGTCCCACCTACTAGAAAAATACAGATCTTTCTCAGTGTTTCTGTCGATGAAGAAACATTAGAGGAATAAGTTATCCTAGACTTTGTGGAGGAGATTCATATCATTGAATGTTGAGGTCTGCATCGTAGAACTGAGCTACCTGTCCTGGCCTCTTTTTAGCAGTAAACCAAGAGAAATAGGTGCTTTCCCTCAATTCAGATTCTTCAAAAGTAAGTGTCAAAATAGACTAGCGGAATCATAGCTTGCAAAGT